TGGGACTGGGCGGCAACCGGGACCGGTGATGATGAAGCTGACCCTGCTGATATATTTTCTATCTCGTACACTTTTCACTCTGTCCTAGATGATGAACAGTGCTCTGGAGCACGCCCTGACGCAGACGAGCCACAAGATGCTGTTACACCGGTGTGGGAGTCATCGCCGGGTGTGCACTCGCCGGCGTCTCCCTCCACACCAATCAGCACCACGCAGACAAGCTGAGTGGAGTTTGCCACTCCGCCGACTGATGCGTCGCAACCATCTAACGAGGCGCCACGACGCTATCGCACACTTGCAAACATCAACGAGACTACCAGTCCTGTCCGAGAGTTTCAGTACTCCGGGCTGTGCCTTCTGGCGGCCGATGAGCCAGTAAGCTTCACGGAAGCTGAAGTGCAGGCCTGCTGGCGCAAGGCTATGATTGATGAGGTGAAGAGCATCGAGGAAAACAAGACGTGGAGTCTAGTTCCACTGCCTGCTGAACATCGACCGATAGGTCTGAAATGGGTGTACAAGATCAAGCGTGATCTTGTTGGCAGCATTGTGAAGTACAAGGCCAGATTGGTAGCTAAGGGTTATGTGCAACAACATGGCATTGATTTTGAGGAAGTGTTTGCTCCAGTGGCAAGGATTGAAACCGTTAGGTCGTTACTAGCACTGGCTGCTCAAGAGGGATGGCAGGTGCATCATATGGATGTTAAATCTGCATTTCTCAATGGTGATTTGGAAGAGGAGGTGTATGTCTCACAGCCATTGGGCTTTGAAGTGACTGGTGAAGAAGCTAAGGTGTATCGTCTGCACAAAGCTCTGTATGGTCTTCGTCAAGCTCCAAGAGCATGGTATGCTAAGTTAGATGCCACACTAATTAAGATGGGTTTTGAAGGGAGCACTTCTGATCCAGCAGTATACAAGAGAAACAGTGAGCACTCTACACTGATTGTGGGGGTGTATGTGGATGATCTGGTCATTATAGGCTCACAGGTTTCAGTCATCCAAGGTTTCAAGGTTGAAATGCAAAAAGAATTCAAGATGAGTGATTTGGGGTTGCTGAGTTTCTATCTGGGGATTCAGGTGAAGCAAACAGCGACTGGAATTGCTTTAAACCAGTCTGCATATGCTCTGAATATCTTGAAGAAAAATGGCATGGATGGATGCAATCCGTGTCAGGTTCCAATGGAGGCAAGATTGAGGTTGAGTAAAGAAAGTACCAATTCTCTTGTAGATGCTACACAGTATAGAAGTCTCATTGGAAGTTTGAGATACCTAGCGAACACCAGGCTAGATTTAGCTTATGCAGTTGGGTATTTGAGTCGTTTCATGGAGAAGCCTGCTACAGATCACCTCGCTGCTGCAAAACATTTGCTAAGATATGTTGCCGGTACAGTTGGATGGGGCTGCTGGTATGGAAGAAAGCAGAGTAATATTGTGCCACTGACAGGCTATTGTGATAGTGATATGGGTGGAGATGTTGATGATAGGAAGAGCACTACAGGAGTGGTGTTTGCATTGGGTGAAAATATCATCACATGGCAGTCACAGAAACAGAAGGTGGTGGCATTATCATCCTGTGAAGCTGAGTATATAGCTGTAACCACAGCAGCCTGCCAAGGAATTTGGCTTGCTCGTTTGATTTCAGAAATCACAGGTGATGAGAAGAAGTGTGTTGTTCTGAAGGTGGACAACAAATCAGCAATTTCCTTGTGCAAAAATCCTTTACTGAATGACAGAAGTAAGCACATTGACACGCGGTTCCATTTCATCCGAGGTTATGTTGAGAAGAAGGAGATTGAAGTGGAGTACGTGAGAACTGAAGAACAAGTTGCTGATATTCTGACAAAGTCACTTGGAAGAGTTAAGTTTCAGGAGCTGCAAGGCAGACTTGGAATGCTTGAGATACAGCCACAATATTAGGGGGTGTTTGTTGAATGTAATCTTGTAGCTGGGTCAATTTAGTTTTTCAAATTTACGAAATAATCGAGCTTGACTCGTGCTGTGTTCACGATGAGTTCAGAACGTAGAAGTAGCCGCTAACTGTTTTTTATGTTATTTCGTATGTTATTTCTTAGTTGCAAACTCGGTCGTGATCGATCGTGGGATGGCGCGATTCATTAGGATTTAAGCGAGTTTTGTGGATCTTTTTTCAGTTGTAACAAACTCCTGGAGTTCGGAGTATAAATAATAGAAGAGAACCGAGAAAATGCGGCCAGGTTTTACGCAGCGCCAAACTCTGTTTCCTCTGTTCGTCTTCAGTTTCATCAGTTACTGTAGCAGTCTGAAAACTCTCGTTTCTTCAGAACGTGGGAGTGATACACAGAGCTGAGTGGTGAGGTTTGAGTGCTAGGTTTGCCAATTTCCAACAGGGGACTGGGGCGTCGGCGCCGGATGGGGAAGACCTTGGCTCCGGCGGCGACTGGGGACGGCTCCGGCCGCGGCGGATGGGGGTGGGGAAGACGTCGGCTCCGGCCGCGCGGATGGGGGTGGGGAAGACGTCGGCTCTGGCCGCGGCGGATGGGGGTGGGGAAGACGTTGGCTCCGACAGGGGCAGTGGTGGAAAGCAGCGGCGAAAGGGGAAGACCTCGGCTCCCGCGGCGGCTTGAGAACTCGGCACCGGCCAGGGCAGCGGTCGAAGGCGGCGGCGGCAGCAGGAGGAGCGAGGAGGAGTGTCACCGGTGGGGATAGTAGCAGAGTAATGCAGCGGCAGCCGGGATTCGGGCGAAGCGAGGAGGAGAGAGAATGCGCACGGAGAGAGGAGCGAGGAGCGAGGGGAATCGCGCGCGGGGGGCGGAGTCATTGCGTGTGGGGGACGGAGTCACCGTGCGTGGTGGGGGGACGGAATCGGTGGGATGGGATTGGCGATTAGATGAGATGCAGATGGACGGTTGAGATTAGATGGATTTATTTCACCTGTAGTGTTGGAGGGGTGAACTCCTCCTTTTTATATTAGTATAGATAGACATGAGGTGTATAAATACTAAATTAATACTAAGTTAATTTGAGGTTGTTGAGATCATGCTATCATTACTAAAATTATGAACTCAAGTGACATTGTTGTAATGAAAATCCAAGGAGACAGGACCCTATAGGATATATGTGGCACTTACAATTGCTGGTTACATAGAAAACTGCTGAAGCTGGAAGGATCGCACAAAAAAATTGCTACGAGTCACTCCATGCTGCATATGATAAAAAAAAATATCTTTATCTAAATCAATGCTTCTCTAAATCTTAAAGTTCTCTGTGAAATCACATGCCTGTCTATAGGATCAACTAACTTTCCATATTTTTTTTTACTTCCATGAATTACCTGCAGCAATTCTTCATCTCGTTGCTTAATGCGAGTTATTAGATCATGTCCACAAAATGCGCTGCTTATAAATCAATGCATCATTGAAACTTGCTCGCAGGTATGAATTATCTGCAATGATTCAGTGAAGCAAGTTTACTGCTCAGTTTTCCCTGGCACAATATAAAATGAGAAGCAATATGAAATATAAAGCTATTGGATACAGGCAAGGTAACATGAATAATCACAGAACAGAAAAATTGGAAAACAAAGGAGCATAATACGAATTGTATAGTTTAGCAATAGAAAATGATTTCTTGTGTGCATACCAAGGAAGAAAATTTCCCATGGAAGAAATACCTGCGACTAAAATCAAGGAGTCAGTCATGCGAAATAGGATAATTAATCTGCTAGTGCAATAGTGTAGTATGGGGAAAAAAGGAGGAGCAAATTGGGATACAAAAATCTGTTGGAAATTGACAATTGATTGCAAAGAAATTAGTTTGAGTGCTCAACCTGCATCAGTCACAATATTGATTAGAGATAGATTTAACTTGATTGGGGATTAACCTGCACTGGAAACGATGGAGATCAAGTGGATCTGCCTTCAAATTGGCAGAGGGGATGGATCCCACAACAACTTCATTGTTCGGAGGAGGAGCACCGCCAACCTTTGTACTGCTTTTCTTCAGGATCCGGATCGTCTGCCGTAATGCAGAAGAGCACTGTTCATGTGAGGGGAACAGTTAGCTAATGCCATGAACAGTGTCGATTTACTGTAGCTACAGGATTCAAAACACTGTGATTCTAATGCGTGGTACTGTTCATCCTCTGCATTAGTACCTCTAATGCAGAGGATCCGAATTGCTTTCTTCATACGACGTAGAGTACATGATTACCACCAAACACTGGGATGTACTTATATATTGCAGAGAAGATAAGAAGTGAAGAAAACAAAATCGAATAATCCAAACTACAAATCATAAAAGACAGAGATGGATAAACGGGAGCGGGAAGCCAGCCGGGCGGTTTCCGTTTCTTGTGACACCTGAAGGAGGCGAGCAGGCGCTAGGCGGGGATGCGGTGGGAACCTCTACAGTGGGGGAATCGGAGGAAGGGGAACCGGCGTTGCATCAAGCATTGAGAGGTCCAGCAGATGGAATCATATGATGCATACGTACTGATATAGCGTTGGATCGATCTGCTGCAGCCTGCATCTCAACAAATCACAAATGTTTATCTGGCATCCAACGGACATAACAATTTAAACATTTCTGACAATAACTGGATCAATTGTATAGGTATATATATAGGATGTCTGGAGGAGGACTGAAGGTGTGACAGTGCCCACGCCAAAGGAAGGACGATGAGAGTGTCGACAGCGAAGAATAGGTGTTAAGTGAGATTTAAGGTTCTTACTAATTTAGACCATAGTAGAAGCTCCGTTGAACTTTTTTTTTTCCTTCAATCCCAACAAAAGTTGTTTGAGCTGTGTATAAGGAGATAGGAAAAAAAAGAGTTCACTTGTAAATATTTGTTAGAAAAAAAAAAGAGGAGACCAAACTGTAATTGAAAAGGAAAAAAGCCACGATCTTGTGCGTTTATATTTGGAATAGTAGTAGAAACGTCCGTGGCACTGGAGTGTGGGACCCACTGTGTCAGGTCGTAGTCCAGTGCTCTCCCCCATCCATCCTCCATCCTTCATCCGCCGCGACGAAGAGAAAATCCATCCATCCATCCATCCATCTCCCACCACCACACCTTCGCCCCTCCCGCGGCAACCACCGCTCCTCGCCGCCCTCGGATGCTCCCGCCGCCGCCTCCGCCGCAATCCGAGTCATCGGCGGCGGCCGCGCTCTAGCCGCTCGCTCGCTGTTGGCACGGTCCCGGAGCGGAGCCGGAGCGCATGGCGGAGGCCCTCCTCCCCCTGCCCCGGCGCCTCGTCGTCACCGCCTCCACGCCCGCGTGCTCCTCTGCCTCCTCCTCCACGTCCCCGTCGCCTCACTGCCTCCTCTCGCGCGCCAACCCGCGCCCGCCGCGCTTGGCCGCCCCCTCGCCCCCGCGCCACCGCCGCCTCAAGGTACGTGTGCTGTCCCCCTTTCTCCTCTCTTCTGTTCGTCGCGCTAATTGTGTAGGGTTTTTCGGAGGTCAATTTGTTGATTCTACGCGACCCTGTAGATCGCTATAGCACCACAAACGGCTTTGCGTTTGGTGTGGATTGGGGAAGGAAAGGCTTACTACTACTACTAGCTTTTATGTCTTTTGAGGGGTTCAAAACTTGAAATTGAGCCAAACAAGTCTCTCGAAATCATGCATGCTTCATCACCTAGCATACCATAAGTGCCATTGCTGGGTCTTTGTACAGTATCTCTGTTGCTTGATGTCAATTGAAATGGTACATGTTATGATGGAAAATGCATGGCAACTTGGTATTTTGAAGACCGCAGTTTTTCACCTCGAAATGGGTTCTTACATCATTCTTTTGTGGATTTTAGATTAGACTTTGCTCCACGATTACTTTATTCACGACAAAACATGCATAAGCTTTGCATTTATGTTTATACGTTATTGTTATATATTGTATTGTGCTTGTTTTATTTAGCCGATAGGAATCACATTAACAATTAACATCTTTCTCCTTTTCTGCCAGGATTTTATATATGTTTTGGCAACTGTGAGTGGTATGAACTAACTATTGAACTTTCAAAACGTGTCAATTTGTCCTTGCTTGAGATTTTTGTGGATGTCCTACTAGTTTATCTTGAGTTTACGTGCTTTGGAGTTCGTATGGTATTGGACAAGTTTGCCGCTGATGTTTTGATCGTTTTGGTTGATCTTGCTCTAGGCCCATGCAGCCGTCTCAGACAAAAGTGAGCAACCAAAATGGTGGGAGAAGAATGCTGGTCCAAATATGATTGACATCCACTCTACACAAGAGTTCTTGGATGCACTGAGGGATGCAGGCGACAGGCTTGTAATTGTGGAGTTTTATGGAACTTGGTGTGGTTCTTGCAGGGCACTCTTCCCAAGGGTATTTCTCATTTCCTACTGCTGCCATGAGTATAACTATTTGCCGTTTTGATCTTCTCCTTGATACAATTCTGAAATTTCTCATGTGAGCTTTATCAAATTTCCTTGCATAGTTAGATTAATAATTGATGTTTAGCATTATATGGGTTTAGATTGGTACTCTTAAGCTCTAAAGAAGTGCGTGAAAGAATCATGTGGCTTGGTCTTCTCATGAGATGTCAAAATTAGGATGGAGTCATCCAAAAAGGGTAGTATTGATTTTCTGAATTGTGAACATACATGATTAGCTGAACTCACTCTTCTTTATTCAGTTTTTATATCTTTCATGCTTTGAACTTTTGGTCTTGTTTTATAGAGTACAAATTACCTATTCATCCGCGGTTGTCACCCATGCTCATGCTTATTGATGTGTTTCCCTAGTTGGTATTGGTGAAAGCGCTCGAATGTGGGAATTCATCTGCAAATAGTCGAATATATGTTGTGCTTTTGGGGGGAACTATGTTTGGCTTGTTTCCAGGGCATGCTAGCTTCTGCTATATCTAGCTCTTCTTCTATTCTCTGACTTATATTCTGCAGGTTAGACCATCTTGTTAGTATTGCTTCAACAGTGTAGGTGTAGGGGTAATGCAACATTATTTACCAATTACCATATACAGAAGAAATGTTTAGGAGTAATCAATAGTTCAATACCCTTTTTTTCTTTCCTTGTAAACCGTGTAATGCCTCTAATGAACAGAAGGGAACCCAAACTGGAGTCATATGGCCTCCAAGTTATAATCAACAAACATGCATAGGTTGTATAATTGCATCCATGCACTTGGTTTTGTATCATTTGGACCATATAGAAGAGCAGCACATACAGCGGCCTAATGGGAGTTGCATATGGTGTGTTTTTCCTTTTTTTTTTTAATTTACTGGGAGGCTATTTTAGCCCTCTGAACTTGAATGCTTCTGCAGATACCCAAATAAGAGGTCTCTGGTCCTTCTTGTAGAAGCTTATGCTGCCCATATGCTGACCAGGTGACAATAAAAAGGCCAATACCTGAAGTGCTTGAAACTTGTGAGCACCATATATTACATGTGTAACAGTATTCCCCAAAACTGTCATCTTATCATATCTCTAGAGCATTTGCCCTATTTCAGAATTAGGTCTCTTCCTTCTTTGCATCCAGATAAAGGTTTCATATTGCCCTTTCTGTGTTTAGTTACTAGCATGGAACTGATGGATTATTGTTGAAATCGATGGCTGTTAACAACTTAACATCTGTGCATGACGTTAGTGTGGCAAGCTTGGTGCATTGTGCTTTAGTAACTAGGTTCTTTTGCTCAGAACCATGATTGGGTTGTGCTAGCTAGCTGAAGGAAAAAGGCTACTTCATTACCATCACGAGGCAACTCATGTTGCTCTGGCCATTCAACTAGGGCTAACAAATAACCTTCCCTTTGGACTGCTACATCACACTTCAAGGTGTTTTATCATGATGTATTTTGAATGTTTTAGGAAGGCCTTGTTCTCAGAGAGACAATTTTAGGGACGTCGATAATGATAATGGGGAACATTATAATCTCATCCCATGCATCTTTTTTTGCCCTTGTCCTACTTGTTTTCATGGATAAAATAGTTTTAACATTTCCATCTCACCCAGCTGACTGTTATATTGCGAGGACTTCCTTAGAGCATGTTGCTTAAACTAATGTGTTCTTTATTGTTTTGCAGCTCTGCAGAACAGCTGTGGAGAATCCTGATATCTTGTTCTTAAAAGTAAATTTTGATGAAAATAAACCTATGTGCAAACGGTTGAATGTGAAAGTCCTTCCTTACTTCCATTTTTACCGTGGAGCTGACGGGCAATTGGAGGCGTTCTCATGTTCCTTGGCGAAGGTAAGGATGCACCAGTGCGTTCATAAGTTAATTTGCTTCACCTTTCAAGTAGTTAATCACTTAATCTTCAATTCTTCATAATAGTCGGTTCAAAAAGGCATTTTTACTTTTTGAACAACCCTCTCATGGGACATGGGTTAGCTGGCCATGTGTGTACCAGCAGTCGGCATGCTAACCCACCGCTCATGCTCCTCAACCATGTTCCTTGATCCAGTGAACCCGGATTGAACAGCCCCAGTTGTAATGCAATAAATTGTCCACCTGCAGCTTATGTATATAAGGCTCATTTTATAATATCACGTTATTGTTTTGGCCAGTCACTGTTAATTTCAGAAACTCAAGTTTTCCTTGGTGATAATTCTTTTCCCTGAAGTACATTTCCTCTCTTTTTCTGATGGTATAGAGAGTGTTCTGTAGTGAAACATTAAGGGTTTATATCTGCTTTTATGTGTGTTTTCCACTTATCAGAAACTGTTCTTGCTTGCAGTTTCAGAAACTGAAGGATGCAATTGCTGTTCACAACACTGCTCGCTGTAGCATCGGTCCACCAGTCGGAGTTGGGGATGTGCTGGATAGCCCTGAGGAGAAACCTGCAGAAGCTAGTCCCCGGTAGATTTGTTCTGTTACAGTGCGTCTCGCTCTCCATTGCTATATCTGCTCATTTTTTTTACCTCGATAGATCTTACTGTAACCAACTCAGGAGAATATTCAGTTTTCCTGGATAGGGGTGGCCAGGCAACGGGCCAGCATCAGATGTTGTAAGCATTACTGTTTAATTTTTTTGAGAAAGAAAAATCGTGTATTATAGTGTGTCAACTTCTTATGCTTGTCTAAAAGAACCATAGAGTTGTACATCATTTTAGCGGAAGAATTCTTCATTGGGCAATTAGACCTCATTCTGGGATTGTTTCTGAAATCAATCTGTTGGAGTTGGGCCACATTCACATTTGCTAGGTATTGGCCAAGGGTGAGGAAAATCAGTATTTGCATGTATTGGAAACTGAGATTTAAAACTGCATTCAAATTGACATAAAAATAAATAAAAATATTTTGCAATATATATTATTCTGTTCTATATATGGTTCCACGAAATATTAACTTAAATCATGGTTTGTATAAGCAGAAGAAACGATAATTTTTTATATAGACAGTCAGCCTCTTTAAGTACGTAGTTTGAAGGTTAATGTGAGCTGAAAACACTTATATAGTTTAGTGCTTTGGAGAAATAGTTCGAGGGAGCAAGATCCACATTTTTCCTATTGTGAAGCATTTATCTAGATAAATCTAATATAAGAGCTTTCATATACTCATAGAACAAAATTAAACAGTTTTCAAACTCATTAGCGGTAGGACTTTGCATTGCAAAGGTTGATATATATGATAATCATATATTATGCACATTGAGACGCTGAGAAAGAAAATATTTATGGTGTAGGGGGCGCAAAGCCCCTTTGGTTAGAGCTTGCTTGTTAGTTTCATGTACTGATGCTTTCAATATTTTTCTTTGTCAAATTTGCCCAAGAATAGTACTCCATTACTCCATTAGTTTGATGTCACAGTGGCTCTAATCGTTTGAGGGACGGTTGATATGCCGTAGGAAAATGAACGAAGCAAAAGTAGAGTAACCCTAAAATTAAGTTTAGAAACTAAATTTAATTTGGTAGTATTCATGGGATTGATTATTGACGTGGTTATTGCCACTAATATGCCTACGAACCAATTAAACAAGCACACAACTCAATCAAACTTAGTTTATTTTTGAAGTGTGTTGATCCCACGGGCATGGACTAAACAAACAATAGCTATAATGCATGGGAAAAATATAAGGTGGAAACTACATGTATATATATATAACAGTACAAACCTGAAAACTACCGTTAAATTGAAAAATGGACGTCTCGGATTCGTTACTCCTAGTAAAATTTTTACTGCTGAGTAAATCTACGAGTAAAATTTTTACTCGCGGCGACGTGGATGAATATCATACCTCTATTTTTGATCCAACGGTAGTTTTTAGGTTTCCATTACCAAATGATTTGCAATAAATATTTCCCATAATGCATGGTGTAATGCTACATGATTGATTGGTCCGCTGGAGCAGCACATTGCCATGGTGCTACGTCGTTACTACTCCATAACAATGTCTGACTAATAATATATGTCAAAGTTGTCTTCACTATCGTAGTGTTATTTTAACTACTAACGTAATCAAATCACATTTTACTGGAGTGGAAGGGAAAAGTCAGCTTCAAAGCACACACCTTTCAGAGTCTTCTAAATCCCTTCAAATTAAAGCCAGTCCCATTAAACTCGAAACTTGTAAAACTATGACAAATCATATGTCAATCTGTAATTTTGGAGGCTTCTTTCCCCCATTTCAAACACAGACATTTCCTGTCGTTGTGAGGTTTGATCCCAAAGTAATTAATTGTGCACGTTTGCACGTGCTCCAACTAATTAAGCATGACGTTGATCTTATCATTAGTTTGCAAACTTTGCCGCCAAATTGATTAATTCCCCTGTTGAACATAATTTTCTGACTGCTGTGATGTGAACATCTTGACCATGCGCGTAGACGAATTGCAATGACACTGACTGAACCGAAGATCGCCGGCTGGCGCAATAGATAGGCAAAACAACATACTAGACTATGCAATTTCCTTCGTTGAAATTCTGATCAATTGCTTGCAAGATTGTTTTTAATTTGGCTACTAAAATGTTTCCTTTCACGACGAAGAGCATCGAAACTGTCGGCTAGGTTTTCTGGGTTACGGTCATGGTAACTGTATAATTGAGTGGAATTTTGAAAATTATTGCAGGAAAAAAGCTTGACTAGTTTCTACTAATGATTTTATTCATCCTGTTGGTTGATGTGTTAATGTCCAAGCTAGAACAAATTATTCCCGTGAGTTATGCGCCAACTTTGTTTCGTTTCACCCTCATTGGCTCACGAGAATTGTTTCGATTTTAAAAATAGTCGATTTTTTGTTTTGATTGTAAATATGGGAAGAGAAAATTTCGTTATTGCCCCTTTCGAGGTCTATACTGGCGGGCCTCATAATTTATAACCCGTGTGGATTATGGAAAGCTCTTTATATCAGAACTGAATTAATTTAATTATTGTAAAATCTCTATAATATTAATTGATTTGAAAATAATCCTTTAATGGGCTCTTTGATTCTGTGTTTGTCAAAGGTTTAGAATTAAAGTATAATTGTCATATATGCTTATTGCTACTTTGCTAGGCTTTTATTGTGTTACGTACGGGTTATCTAATATTGCTATACATGTTTGTGAAAACGGTATTATAAAAGAAATGGATGTTTAGTGAAAAAAAATGTGTGTAGCTTTCATAGATTAGGAACTTTTGTCTGAGAGCTTTTGAGTTTTCAAATTTTACCACAATTGATTGGCCAAATTTTGCGTGGCACCGACGATCGTAAAAGCAATTCAGTGCCGCTCGTGTTAGTGCATCACCACACTATTTTTCACTAGTACAGATCCTTCCATCTGTGACGGCCCATAACAAGACTGGAATTTACGGGCCGTCACAAGTAATCTCAATTGGGCCGAAGTTTCGCCCGATTGAGATATAGTCGCACAGCCATGGTATATCGGCATAAAACTAAAGCCCGTCACGGATGACACTTATCTATGACGGGCTATAGTTGAGGCTCGATTGAGATGAGGGTTCCATATCTCAATCGGGCCCTAAAAGAAGCCCGTCACAGATGAGGGTCACACTCTTTTTTGACGGGCTTTTATTAAGGCCCGATAGAGATTACTTGTATGCCCGTCACGGTTGATTATTTTAGGGCCGTTACAGATATTTGTTACACAGTATAAATACCCCCCACCACCTAGTGTAACTGCATCCCACTGTTCACTATTTTGGTGGGAGGCTGTTGGGGCGATTTTTTGTCCTTTTTCCAAGGAAAACAGAAATTAAATTCCCAAAGTAATCAAAATGGATCAATCAAGTGAGTAATATTAATCATTAATTGAGCAATTTCATCACGTCTTACTTTTGCAATACTGATCTTATAATATGTGCCTCTAATTTGTTTTTTTTTATTTTGTAGCAATTGATTAAAGTTGGATGTATGCTAAAAATTTGAAACGTCATTCTACGGACTACAGAAAGGGCGTAACAAATTTTATGAACGTCGCGGAGGAGGATCGGATAAGAAGAAACAGTGATTACATGTGTTGTCCATGTGCAGATTGCAAGAATGAGAATATGTTTGATAGCGGAGAGGACGTACACGGTCATCTGATACAACGAGGATTCATGGAGGGCTATACATGTTGGGTGAAGCATGGAGAGCAAGAATCAGGAAGTGGAGCAGCAGCAGACAGAAGTGGTGCGCATAATCAGGAAGATGAAGATGAGCATGACATGTTTATACCTTCTCCATTGGGCGGTGAAATGGTTTATGTGGATCACGATCTGCTGCAAGACATGTTACGTGACGTTGAGGACCCAGCCCAGAATGAGAGAGATGGAATGAAGTTCAGCAGGTTGGTCAGTGATTCCGAGACGCCTCTGTACGCTGGATGCAAAGCAAAACACACTAAGTTGTCAGTTACCTTGGACCTAATGAAGCTGAAGGTAAGTAGTGGATGGACAGATAAGAGTTTCACAGATCTTTTAGGAATTTTGAAGGCTATGCTTCTTGGTGAGAATACATTGCCCGAGATGACATACGAAGCAAAGCAGGTTCTGTGTCCACTGGGGTTAGAGGTCCGTAGAATTCACGCTTGTCCAAACGACTGCATATTGTACCACAAGCAATATGCGGACTTGGATGCTTGTCCTGTCTGCAAGGCTTCTCAATACAAGCAAAAGAAAAGACCTGACGAAGGAAATAAGTCAAAGAAGGGTGGTCCGGCAAAGGTTGTGTGGTATCTACCTATCATTGATCGTTTCAAGAGAATCTTTGCCAACCCGAACGAAGCGAAGTTAGTACGTTGGCACGCCACGGAGAGAAGGAATGACGGTATGCTTAGACACCCAGCGGATTCGATTGAATGGAGGAATATTGATCGAAAACACAAAGACTTTGCTGCCGACCCTAGAAACATGAGGATATGTCTGCGTACGGATGGCATGAATCCTTTCGGTGACATGAGTAGTACTCACAGCACTTGGCCAGTTCTTATTGCGAACTATAACCTCCCGCCATGGTTATGCTTTAAACGGAAATATATTATGTTGTGCTTGTTAATCCAAGGTCCGAGGCAACCCGGCAATGATATCGATGTATTCCTGGAGCCTGTTATCGACGATCTGGAGATTCTTTGGAAATAAGGTGTGGAAACTTAGGATGCATATGGTCAGGAGAACTTCAAGCTAAGAGTTCTATTGTTCTGCACCATTAATGACTACTCTGCACTCGGTAATCTTTCCGGACAAACTATAAAAGGAAAGAAGGCATGCTCCGATTGCAAGGAACATACACGAAGCCGATGGCTGAAGAAATCACAATAGATGGTATACATGGGTCATCGGAAGGTTGTCAGGTGTTGGCTCAATCGGAAGGAAAAGAATTAGGCCCGATCAAGCGTCGTACGCGCAGGCTCATTACGCTGTGCTCCAACATATGGCAGAAGTTGGCCCATACTTTGAGGAGCACTTAGCGAAAATCCGAGATGAGAACTTGAGGTGATCTGATGCATGGATTAACAGAGAACATAATTCTCGGTTCAACGAATGGTTCAAGAATCGTGTGACAATGTCCACAGATGTCCCAAATGAGACAGTACAGTTGTTGGGGATGGGACCGTCTTGGACCGTAGACACATGGCAAGGATACGATATAAATGGATACACATTTTACACCGTCAAACAAGATGGCAAAAGCACAGTGCAAAACAGCAGCGTCCGTACAAATGCATTCCAGGA